GAGAAGGATTTTAGCGACAGGTATCTCTTCGTTTTCTAACTCAAAATCCTCTTCGTCATTGCAGGGTTGGGCTGATTTATATTTAAAGTTGGCATGAAAAGAAAATTCACATTATCTGTTTTCTAAATGCATGCCAGATCTTATTGTCAACAATTCATCCATGCATGTCTAATTTTAAAAAATTACCTCATAAGTTTTAATCAAAATGTCATAACTTTTATAAATATTAAAGTGTTTTTTTCCTGCAGCAATCTAATGTAGCTTCTAGGACTGAAACAATTTGTTGACATTATCAATCAAATCAACATTAAAAATTGTCGACAAATAATATTGTTTTCTAATAGTCGTTTGATCTCATATGTAAGGCTCATAATGTAAGGGTCTGCAGTAGCGCGGCTTGACCAGTGTGGCGCTATAGAGCAAGACTGCTATTCAGCCCTCCTTGGCTGCAAACCAATAGAAGAAGACACTTTTGAGACGTGCATATATTTAAAGCATGAAAAGAAAATTCACCTTATCTGTTTTCTAAATGCATGCCAGATCTTATTGTCAACAATTCATCCATGCATGTCTAATTTAAAAAAATTACCTCATAAGTTTTAATCAAAATGTCATAACTTTTATAAATATTAAAGTGTTTTTTTCCTGCAGCAATCTAATGTAGCTTCTAGGACTGAAACAATTTGTTGACATTATCAACAACATCAACATTAAAAATTGTCGACAAATAATATTGTTTTCTAATAGTCGTTTGATCTCATATGTAAGGCTCATAATGTAAGTGTCTGCAGTAGCGCGGCTTGACCAGTGTGGTGCTGCAGAGCAAGACTGCTATTCAGCCCTCCTGGGCTGCAAACCAATAGAAGAAGACACTTTTGAGACGTGCAAATGGAGACGAACCAGTGTAGGGAAGTTTTACAAAACGATAAACTAGGGCTGCACGATATATCGAAATTATCGAAATATCGCAATATGCATATCGCAAGGGCGTGCGATATCTGAATCATTTTAATAATAGGCTACTTAAATCAAAACGTTGCAAAAGGTCAAAGTTTTAGTTCGACGCATATAGCAGAGAATTGCTTGACGTTAAAAAGAGTTAAGTGCAATAAGTTGCAGAAAACAAATATAATTTTCATTTTTAAATATTTTTAAATATTTGAAATTTTACACACTTTAAGCAATATCGTATCGCATATCGAATATCGCATTTTTTAACAAGGTATCGCATATCGCATTTTTCTTCAATATCGCACAGCCCTACTATAAACCAAAAATGCTGCTATGTGGCCCTGACATATTGACGGCGAAGTTCTTTTTCATTCTTCTTTTTCAATATATGCTTTACTGTTAGCGAACATTCTGACGAAGCTGAGAGTAGCGTTTAGATGAGTGTGTAATACTCCATAACAAAATAAACACAAATCAAAAATGCCAGCTGTGAGAAAACAGCAGTTAAGGAAGCATCTGATCGTAGCGATGTGGATATGTTTGCACCTTCAATTGGTGCTACAGCTAACTTACAGTAAGTTATGTCACGTTTATTTATCTACTTTTTTCACTGACCTTATTAAATGTGTCACCTTTCACATCAAATTCTTACATTGTTTATTAATTAAATTCAGTTATTAATTCAGTTAGAATAATAAGAAACTGCAGAGCTGTTACCATTCAAATGAAATCAGTATCAACAAACTCCATCTTTCCACTTCAGGAAACACAGAAGCTGCATCTGAAGTGACATTAGATGTATTTACACAGACTGTTTGATGAAGCTGAGGTGCCATAAATGCATTTACACTGCAAAATTTCGAATACATAAAGAATTTTATAAGATTAATGTTTTAAATATTTTTTAAACATACAAATAAGAAATGTTGGGAAAAAAGCAATGATAGTTTTAAATATGAAACCAAACCAGTAGGTGGCGTCAAATGACTGTTTGAATGAGTGAGTCATTTAGTCCTTCATTAAACAGATTCGTTCAAACGGCTGTATGTATTGTAATGTCTTTATGAATGCGTTACTGAATCATTGACTCGCTTGATTCGTTCAAAAACGTGGACTCATTCAGTAACGAAACGCTGTGTTGCTCGGACTCGGAGACACAAAACAGTTCTGATGTGGCTTTGATTGGAACTATTTTCATCAGCGAAATTGAGCAAAAATCTTGTGTCTAAAATGTAAGCCACTTAATTTTAACTTCTTGTTTATTGAAGTACTGTTGTATAAAATCACATTGCAATCGTGTTGAAACATTTTGGTGCAATGTTGCGTTCCTAAATCGTATATTATAATTTTTTTTTTACTACTGCAGTATGCATCTGTAAGTTTCTGTGTGTGCTGTTGCGCTCATTTATTTTGATTTCTGCACGAGTCTCTCTCACGCACTCACTCACTCATCTCTAAAACTCATCTCTAAAACTAATTTATTTTGTTAAGGAAAATTTAATGGTCTGGTTTCTTCTACTTTCATTTTGGAGCAAACATCTGCCTTTAAACTTGAAAGAAATAAAGATTTGTCATTTATCTTGATAATTATCGATATCGACTGATAGGAAAAAAATTATCGTGATAATTTTTTTGGCCATATCACCTAGCCCTAGTTGCAGCCCTAGTCCTGCATCCTCCCATTATTTGCCATTTGCCAGTCACAGGTGGCACAGGTGGTGGTGTTTGACACAGCTGTTCTGTTTTCTGATGCATATTGTTCGCTCACTTGATAGAGCAGGGCTCTTGTAATCTCAGGGCCACATTTGGCCTGTGGGCCAACAGTTGAAATGCCAAGGAACAGACAATTATGACTAAAACTATTATTAAAATGTTTTCTAGGTGATAGAGATTAGGGCTGTGCGATTAATCGAAATCGCATCGAAATCGCGATTTGAGACGTTGCGATTTCCTAATCGCAAAGCCTGCGATATGGACGCGATATTACTTTGTTCCAGAGCATATGCATGACTGCCAGCCTTGAGTGGCAGTCTTACTAACCAATAGAGTGAGCGCACCTCCGTTCTCCCCAATCAGCGCTGCTCTAGCCAACTGCGTAAACACCCACCATAAAAAAAATAAAAAAGAACCCGGGAGAGAGACAGAGTGGGATTATGGTGTCTACTGGGTCAGATCGATAGTTAGGCAAATTAAAACTAAAGAAAAACGTATGCAACTTAAGCTTTGAAATGACAGACAACGAACAAAAAAGGTCATTTCCAAGAGCTGCGTCACAACGCATATCAAGCGCTCCCGTATCGGTTCTGTTTTCAGTACTGAAGAATAAAAGATACATTCTTAGACGTTTTTGTTAGTATGTGAACGTTATCTTACACATTTTATCTCCCCAACAGATTAATTTGAAATAAGTTTATAATGCATGTTGGCTATTCCCAATTCAGAAGAGCGCACACGATCAGGTTGAGCTTGCAAGGTATGACACGATGCTATTAAAACTTCATGCGTGCATGCACAAGTTGCTTCTTTTACAGGTCTTAATAAAAATATATATATTTTTTTGTTTTTGTTTTAAAGTGCAATAAAATGCATGCTGTGACGATAAGCAGTAGATGAGTGTGCACTTTTATACATTGCATAACCATGTAGGATGTCTAGTCATATCAATAAAATAACACAAATGACAGTTATCTCATTAAATTATTTATTTGGAACTTGATGGACGCAAACCAAAAGATAAGAGTATTGATAAGAAAGCAATAAATCAGGCATCTGAGCGAAAACAACTTCGCATTTCGTAACATGTGAGTCAAAACACTAGATAAAACTAATATTAAACGCAAATCAATTGGATCTTGCAAATTGTGATGTTCGTTTTGTGCCTAACAAGACCTGCCATGTTTAGACTTGTTTGCAACATGTCTCACTCTGTACTTTCAGGTCACGCCATGTTTCTTTGTTTTCCTCGCATGTGGATACAGTAAAGCAGTACTGACTGCTGATAGTCATGCAAATGGATTTACTTTTGTACCAATGTTGCTAGAGATGCACCGATTGCAATTTTCTTGGCCGATTCCGATTTCCGATTTTTTTGTTAGTGTGATCTGCCGATACCGATTTTTGCCGATTCCGATTTTCTTTCTAAGAACTATAATTGACAGCATTTTAGTGTGATCTGCCGATACCGATTTTTGCCGATTCCGATTTTCTTTCTAAGAACTATAATTGACAGCATATACAAACAAAATTCTACTTTTCTTCAACGCAAAGTTTTATTTTCATAAAAAAAACACAAGTAAAAAGTCAGTAATAAAATAAGAACAAATAAAAAAATTACAAACAACAGCACAAATAAATGCAATAGAATAAAGAGAGCTATGAAATTAAGTTTCTCAGGTTAAGTAAGTTATTCATTTAAGAAATACTACAGCAATTAAAGTAATCAAATGTAAAATAACACATCCAGTATTATTTTACATTTGATTGCATTAATTTATACAGAAAAATCTCTACCAGTTGAACCATAGCTGTGTTTCCATGAACTTATAGCCTGTATTGTTTTCTACACACGCTGAATTTAAAATTTACGCCGAAAATCACATTGATAGTACAGCTGTTTGGTTATCTGTTAATAGAGGGAAACACGTTCATGCTGTCTGAAGAGGATATGCAACTGTCCTCTCCTCCTTTTCGCTCTGCTTCACTTGATGGATTTGCATGCATCTACTACACTGTGACCCTACTCATATTCTCTACTCATAGTCTTTCTCTCACGCTGTGAATGCATGTGTAGGCATTGCAAATGTGGCTCAGTGTGGAGGTGGAGCAGTGCTAAACGTTTAGGCTACGTTCAGCCGTCGCCCCCTGGTGGCCAGTCTCACATCCTCATTCTCATGATGTGTAATCATTGCATTACTTATTTTACTATGTTAGTAAATAGATATAAGAGAATGTGTGCTGATGGTTAGTTCTTGCCTTTCCTGCTGAACAGTATTAATTCATTATTCCTGTTCATTAATATACACGTATCCCTGTGTTTTGTGTGTTTTCAGACTTGAAGGCAGCACTGCCACATCCTCAGCTGCTGGGAAGTCCGGCACACACAAGAGCTGTCTTGTGTGCTCCGATGAAGCTTCAGGCTGCCATTATGGAGTCCTCACCTGCGGAAGCTGTAAAGTCTTCTTTAAGAGAGCAGTTGAAGGTGAGGAAGTCCTGACACCTATATTCTGTTTTATATCTATGACCTTTACTGTATTTACTGCGCTTTGCCTTTTTTGAAACACTTTAGTGGGTCGTTCCGTGTCAAGTCAACCAGAGGTCCCCGGTGCAAATTGTTGATTTTAATATTTTTTTGGGTGAAAGAATCTCATAAGTATTAAATGTCATGAATTCATATTTACTGAGTAATCTGCTGAAAATTGGTAATATTCAACGATCTGAATATGCAGCTGTCTTGAGATCCCCATATCTCTGGGTATATGGTTTATTATATGGTTAATTATAGTTTATTAAGAACTAGAATCTAAAATCATATTGAGATATCTTTAATACTTCTTGAGTTACAGGCATGCAAACTTTGGAAAAAGTCAAAAAAGTCGGCTTGCAGACAGGTCTGTGCTATGCAATTGTTTTGATTGAGGGAGACAAGACACATTTCTAGTTTCAACGTTATTTGTTCTTGTATGAATAGTGATCCACATTTGGTTTATGGCCACTGGAAATGTGTACAATTTGACAATTTACTCCTGGAGCCATATTTAGATCCCAGTATCTCTGGAACTTAACCGAACCATACCATACCATGGCCTTAAAAATAAAGATGCCAAAAGGAAAGTTTGTTAAGACCCAATATCTAAAAGGGCATTAAGATATATTTAATATTTCTTGAGTTGCAGACATGCAAACTTTGGAGAAAAAACTTGAGAAGTGCTTTTTCCCCACTTTTGAATGGTCACCATTGGCATATAATGCAACAGGGATTGCTTAATAGATTTTAGTTACAGACCTACCAATCTCTGTGTAAAAAAACATAATGATGCTGCCATCTTTCTAAAGGCATTTTTACCCCCCTGTGATTTGGCTATGAATTTCAGGTAAAAAAGGTAATTTTGAACGCCCTCTACAAAATAGTGGATTGCTCAGTAAATGTACGTTCATGACTTTTAATATTTTGGCTTTCATCACTATACATGTTTATCTTTCCTTAGAAAAAATACTGACAAAATCAAAACTTTGAGCCAGTAAAGTTTCTGCGATTTGGTTGATTTGACACGGAACGACCCTAGTGCATATTTATATGTAATTTTAGAATAGTATCCTTGAAATATGCTTAAAATGTACTGCTGAATGTGCTGACGTGTATTTATGGTAAATTATGATATATTCTAATGTAATTTCTATTGAAAATATATTACACATTTGTTGTGATAAAGTCAGTTTAATACATTATATATATTATACAATATACATTATATACATTAAATATATTAACTTCAAATGTAACTAATTAGTAATGAACACACTGCAGTTAAAATTCTAATTATGTTGCATGTGCGTTAGTACTGTATGTTTGTCAACACATTAAAAATGTACTTTAAAGCATGGCAAAATATTAAAACATAATGATTTAAAATGTACTTTAAAACTTTTCATTTAAGTTTATTGCAAATTGTACTTAAGTGTGGTAAGAAACAGCCATGAAACATTCTTTGTACACTCTTTAAGTACAGTTAAGTGGCCTTTTATTTAATTAATATTATATTATCTACAAGTACCTTTAAAATAAATTGCTTTAAGTGCACATTCAATACAATTAAGCAAGCTTCTTTTTCACAGAAAGGCAGGTGATCGAGACAAATTAGTAATGTGATTATGTGATTATTTACCTCTGTCTTTCTTGACCTGATTACGTAGAGTTAGAGACACATCCTTCTAGCGTGTTTTTACTTTCTCACTGCATGTCTATTTCAGACAACTCGTACTATGAGTCATTCGTCAGTCAAAACGCTTTTTATCCTGTGGGTGTTGAAATGCATCTCTGGCTGACAGAGGAAATGTATTCTGATAACATCACTCTAATGCAGACAGATGACGTCAATTAGAGTTTACAGCTAATCAGTGTGTATTTTAAGTGCATATATTTGAACAGTACGAACTACGGCTCTGCGTGTAAAAAAAAAAAAGCAATGCAGTGGGGTTCAGTACAGTGTTTGACAGCTGTGTATGATGAGGGACTCCTGAGACAGACTCCTGTCTAATCCACACTATTCTTGATTCTCGTAGGGCAACACAATTACCTGTGCGCTGGACGAAACGATTGCATCATTGACAAAATCCGCCGGAAGAACTGCCCTGCCTGTCGTTACCGCAAATGCCTCATGGCAGGCATGAACCTAGAGGGTAACACGAAATGTTGCACTTGTTACATAATTACACCAGTGTGTCCCCAAATGTCATTTTAGATGTATAACAAAACTTCAATCACAGGAAATGCATAAAGTTTGAAATCTGACTGTCGTAAACTTTCCTTATTCAATGCTCAGCCCGTAAAACCAAGAGGGGCCGTCAAACCGGCAAGGTAATCCAGCAGCCGTCGATTCCAGAGCGCAGTCTTCCTCCGCTGCCAGAAGTCCAGGCATTGGTGCCCAAACCCATGCCTCAGGTGGTGCCCACCATGCTGTCACTGCTAAAGGCCATCGAGCCGGACACCATCTACGCTGGATACGACAGCACCATCCCTGACACCTCCACCCGCCTCATGACCACTCTGAACCGTCTGGGCGGCCGGCAGGTCATCTCTGCGGTCAAATGGGCCAAAGCTCTGCCAGGTACGACTTGAGAATAGGGATGTAACGATGCACCCCGAGCCGGGTGAAAATATGTGACGATTCAAGTCAGTTGAGATGTTTAAGTGCCACTATTATGGGTAATGAAAGGTTCATATTTTGGTTTTATGAGTCCCCAACAACAGGTCAAAAATCACTTTCGTTGTCTTATAATATGCATTTATTTTTACCTTACTTGCTCAACGACTCCCAAACGATTCGCTCAACGAGTCATTTTTCCAAACCCCTACTTTGCGTGACGCTAATCTGCAGTGATTGGTCCGATTGGTCTCATTTTCATTTCATCTCGCCTGTAATGCCTGATAAAGCAGCGTTTGTGAGCGCAGGGCTGCTTTGTTTACAGCCGTTACCGGTGAAACCGCTATTTTACTGCTCCAAAAGCGGCACCTAGTGGCAAAGAATGAATTTGCATTATCATTCATACCAACAAGAAAAGACCAACAAGTGGGCGGGCAATATGCTAATTTTTCATGTTGACGTCAACATGAAACGGCTTGGGATTCGTTTTAAAAACGACTCGTTTCAATGATTCAGAGTTGACTCTTTCTTTTGAGAGACAATAACTTTATGCACGGTGCACTTTCAGATTTAAAACTTTGCAGGATGTTTTCAATTCACTTAGAGCTGTGTTACACACTGCATAAAAGGTAATTTTCAAAAATCCATAATAGGGGCACTTTAAACAAATCTTGGGGGTTTATATGAATGTGTCTCTGAGTGGAACGGTCTTCAGAAAAGTTTAGATGGTATTTTCTTTTCATCTTGCCTCTGTGCGATGCGTATTAAAGTAGTGTTCATAAGCGCAGCTGCTTTGTTTACAGCTGCTGTTCCACAAGTGCCACCTGCTGTCAGAGAGTGAATCTGCATTCTCATTCAGCCCATCTGCTGTTTTTGTTTTGTGCAGATGTAGTATAGTTTCACAAAGCTAAAGTTGGAACATTCTGTTTTTCCTTCAAGTTTTGAAATTGTACAATCTAATTTAAATCAAAAACTGCTCTTTGTTTGGATCGTAATAGAAATGCAGTGATTGCCTGCATGGAAAGAGCACAGGCCAAGTCTTAGTTTTTTTTTTTTTTAGTGAAGAGATTTATTTTATTTGTATTATTTATTTATTTGATTTGGGATTTGTTTTAAATTTTTAATTTAGTTTTGTTATTTTGTTATGTGCAGCATTTTGTATGAGAAATAATAAAAGGACACCTTCTCATTTATAATTTGTCTTAAATCATAGGGGTGGGAATCACCAGAGGCCTCACGATACGATATTATCACAATACAATATTATTGCAATTTTAAATATATTGTATATATTGTAATATATTGCGATGTATTGTAATTTATTACCTTTTTCCAATTTCAAATTATGTCCCCAAAGGAAAACTTTGGCAACATCTGTTTTAACTAAAAAGAAACATTTCTCAGTTTGTTTATCTCACTTCAGTTTTATTGTTGCAGTGCAAAATGGGATTGTCAAGCAGACAAACTGACCAACACTTTCATGAAAACCTGTCATAAATGTTGTACGCACCTGGGAAACTCAATTTTGTATTACGGTCTAATCTAGTCCACCTTAATTAAATGTAAACAGGTATGCACTGCTGTGCTACTACAGGTATTTTGAACAATGCAATGCAAAGTTGTGCTGCAGACCCTTAAGCAATTGGGGCATTTGAAAGTAAATTACTGTTAAATTTAAAATAAATAAAACATAGTCTAACATCCGATTTAAACGTGGAAGGCGCTTTCCTGATAACTTTCCGCGATGCCGCCATCTTTATTTTACTAACTTACTGCATGCAGAAGGTGACCCAGCTGACCTCACCAGAAAAAAAACTCAGCACCACCATCTAGTGGGCTGTAAAGAAATTTATTTTATTATTCTACCAAATAGTATAATAAAAGATCGATAGTTGGTGTCCGTGTATCGATACAGTATTGCAACGGAAAATATCGCGATACTATGCTGTATATCGATTTTTCCCCCACCCCTATCAAATCAAATTACAAATCAAGAAAATCATATCGCATAGTGAGTTGAGTGAATCGTTACATCTCTACTTGAGACGTCTTTAAAAAGCCGTGTGGAAAATCTTCAACCGCAGCATGCACTAAAACCTCTGTTTTGCTCTTTTTAGGGTTCCGGAACCTTCACCTGGATGATCAGATGACCCTCCTGCAGTGTTCCTGGCTGTTCCTCATGTCCTTCGGACTCGGTTGGAGGTCATACCAGCAGTGCAATGGAAACATGCTGTGTTTCGCACCAGACCTGGTCATCAATGAGTATGTCTCTCATTAAACAGGCCATTTGCTTTAATAATCTCTATGGCGGTTTAAAGATGCGTTCACACCATGGAAACTATAATGAAAATAATAACTATAAAGTGTGGAATAGTAGTTCTAATTCTATGCGAATAGGTTACACCACAACTATCGTTGAAATCACGTACGTGAAGTGAATGATTTTTTTCAAATTGATTCAATTCGGTTTGATTTTTTTCTAGCTGATGAACAATAAAAACATGGTCAGCCAATCAAAATCCACCCAGCTTGAGAAGCCGTAGACAACAAAACTGTAGTGCGCTCATTATAAACAAAATGTTATCGTCTGTTGAAAATGTCCTCACCCTCAGGCCATCCAAGATGTAGATGAGTTTGTTTCTTCATCAGATCTGGAGAAATGTAGCATTGCATCACTTGCTCAGCAATGGATGCTCTGCAGTGAATGGGTGCCGTCAGAATGAGAGTCCAAACAGCTGATAAAAACATCACAATAATCCACAAGTAATCCACACCACTCCAGTCCATCAGTCAACATCTTGTGAAGCCAAAAGCTGTCATTAAGACGTTTTTAACTTTAAACCGTTGCTTTTGAATAAAATACCAGTCTATAATAAGACTTCCTATACTTCATTCTGACGGCACCCATTCACTGCAGAGGATCCTTTGGTGAGAAAGTGATGCAATTCAACTTCCAATCAACAAACAAACTCATCTCCATCTTGGATGGACTAAGGGTGAGCAAATTTCCATTTTTGGGAGAACTATTCCTTTAACTGCCAATAAAAGCCTAAATTAGTCTTGTTTGTCTGTCTGCAGAGAAAGGATGAGGTTGCCCTACATGACTGATCAGTGTGAACAGATGCTGAAGATCTCCAATGAGTTTGTGAGACTGCAAGTGTCCAACGAGGAGTACCTGTGCATGAAAGTCCTTCTGCTCCTGAGCACAGGTGACTTCTTTAGAAGCCATTAATGCTTGATCCAAACGGTTTCGGGTTCCCTGAGAATCCAGATGACATAGTTTGATGTCAAATTACTTCATTTTACAGAGGACCGTAACAAAACCTTTGTGTGTTTTTGTGCTTTGTCAGTGCCGAAGGATGGTTTGAAGAGCCAGTCAGTGTTTGAGGAGCTACGAATGTCTTACATTAAAGAACTGGGCAAAGCCATTGTGAAGAGAGAGGAGAACTCCAGCAAGAACTGGCAACGATTCTATCAGCTAACTAAGCTACTGGACTCCATGCACGACGTAATGAATTTTATCCTAAATAATGCTTTTTAAAAGCTGTGGCTTTGCTCCAAACCCTAGTGAGTTGCTCCTGCTAAGGCCGCATCCTAACAGATTTGACATTTCATAATGTCATATTGTCATACTAATATATCGCTCGGGAGACTCAAATCAACAGTTAAACCCAGTAGAGTTGCATGTCGCTTAGCTAATGATGCAATACTCCAGTAAGCATAAAAACACACGGCACTAGGGTCACCATATCAGGGGCC